AAAAAAAAAAAAAAAGATGCCCTACAGCCAACCGGGGGGGAACCGGACCGGTCCTACCGGCCCGGTCGACCGGCCGGTAGGACCGGTCCGGTTCCAGTTGGGGGAGGACCCCCCGGTCCTACCAGGTTTTCAGCACTGCTTTTTTTAGGACTTTTTTCTTAAACCACCAGTACTTCCTAAAGTCGTGCCCGTTAACGTGCCACAATTTTAGGAAACGTACGGGCCACTACAGGAGCGCCCAGATTCATCCAACTAGAAACGTTTCTACTTTTTCCGTGGCCGATAGCTGGGCCAAGTACTGGTGGTTTAAACCACTTGTACCTCTAGCCAGTGTTGGGAAATTACAAGTTTTAGCCTGTTTCCGACGAATTCGGGGGTGGGACCCAGGGTCGGCAAGTCCCATAAATCTTAGTTTTCTCTTGCCCAAACGTCAAAGGAAAAGGGGAAAAAAATAAAAAAGCTTTCTGTACTGCAATGATGTCGGGCAGGGTAGTCTAGGAGGCCGTGCTCAGTCTTCCTCTACAGAATGCATCTTTACAGCAAAGACGGTCACATTCTTAAACTTGTTGTTTTCTTTTTTTTCTTTCTCGTTTGTTTGTTACGAGTTCCCTGCCAATGAGGCAGGGCGGAATCCATGATCTGCTCAAGTAGCTGGCGACTTTCACCGCTTCGCGCCTAATTCACCGTCCACGTGCTCTTTACGCCTAGTCATTCCGAATAACACTTGCCCCCCCCGTCTTACCGCGGCTGCTGGCACGGAGTTAGCCAGGGCTTCTTCTTCGGTTTTTGTCATAATCTCACTACCGATGAAAGAGCTCTACAAGATAAATCGCCTTCTTCACTCACACGATATTGCTGGATCAGGCTTTCGCCCATTGTCCAAGATCCCCCACTGCTGCCTCCCCTACGAGTCCGGGCGGTGTCTCAGTCCCAGTGTGGGCGGTGTCTCAGTCCCAGTGTGGCTGATCATCCGACCAGCTAAGCATCATCGGCTTGGTCAGCCCTTTTTCCTCAGAGGATTGTAACCCTGATCACACTGGCACAGAGGAATGTATCCAGCCATTTTCACGGCCGAATCCGTGTTTCTGTTTTTTTTTCTTGTTTTGTGTTTCTGGAATCTGACAACCTGGCCACGGGCCTGAGATGCCCTCACTGAGGGCACACTCACTCTACCACTTCCAAGAATGTATACAACTGCAATAACAGCCAGAGCTTTGTTTCCTTTTTCTTGTTTTCTTGTTTTCTTGTTTTCTTGTTTTGTGAGTTTCATGGCCGCAACTTTCCTTCTTTTTTTTTTTTTTTTGTTCTTCCCGTGAGAGTACCATAAAGAAAATGGAGTGGGACCCAGGCTCGGCAAAACTCAGAGCGCAGTGAAATTCAGGGTTGGCAAAAACAGGCTCGGAGGTACTAGTGGTTTAAATGGGGGTATCTCCTTACGTGATTGCACTCATCTGATACCCTCAGGAGTCAGGATTTTTGAACTTGTGATCTATTATTTGAAAGAAACAGTCGCATGTGTCCTTCGGGACATCTGTTAAGAGTAGAACGATACACAGACGATTTGCACTGCCTCTTGCGAAAGGACGACATGCTTTGGCAGCAAAAAAAAAGGGAAAAAAAGAATGGCTTACGTGTATAGCGCTGTATACCATTTGCCACATGGGCTAAGTTAAGTGAGAAGTAATTTCCCTACACTTATAAAAATCGGTAACGTGAGAAATCTCCAATCCGGGCCATCCAGGCTCTACCGGCCTGACGGTTTGGATTGTCACCCAATCTTGAGAGAGAGAGAGAGAGAGAGACCATGACAACGCTGACTGATGGAAATGAGGATGAAGATGAAGGATATTTGCGAGGACAAGGTAAGATGATATTGACATCGGGAAAGGGGTCTGGAACAGGCTATGGTGGTTTTGTTTTTCTTTCCTGCTGACTCTGATCGCGTAAGGGGGACGAAGCGACATGAAGGGGAGGACGAGGAAGAGGAGGGGGAGGGTGACGTTAGGGAAGGAGAGAGGGCTAGGGGGAAGTTGGGGTGGGGTTTTGTGGGTTGGAGGCACGATTTCGTTTTTCGTTTTCCTGTGTTTTTTTTTTCGGTTTGTGTTTGTGTTTGTGTAAATGTGTGTGTGTGTGTGCGAGAGAGAGAGAGAGAGAGAGAGAGAGAGAGAGAGAGAGAGAGAGAGAGAGAGTTTGCATCCGTCGGTTGCCTCCAGATTTTCTGCATCAACTGTCGCGTTTGTTTTTGCGAGCGAGCTGCAACAGGTCATCTGGTATATATAAAAGGCGTAACTACAGCGCAGTCACGTTTTCAGTTCTAAATCCACTTCAGGCATCTCTCGAATACAACACATCCCCACCCAACCCTAGAGTTGGGTTGGATACATTCACAGATCTCCTCGCTTTGGAGTAGAATTCGCGAAACCGTGACTGAAATGCATTGAAAACTGAAAACCTTTACTGAACCCAAGCTTTCCCTTTATAAAAAGCAACCAGGTTGAAGTTCCAGGAAACCCGCAGCGCATGTGGATGAATGGTACAGACATGTAATCGGCCGATAAATAATCACCTTTATAAAATTAGGAAAAAAAGGTTTCACAGAAAGTACAAAAATGCAAATGTGTTACGACCCTGGCCAATTTCGAAGTACACATTCATCAGATAGTACAATGTCGTCCAATTGCAAAAGAAATGAATGAACTTGAGAGGAGAGAGAGGGTAAGAGGAGGAAGAAGAAGAAAGAAAGAAGAAGAAGATGTGCACCAGCATAGACAAATGATAATGGTCTTCGTCTTCGCCAAATACTCTCCTCTTCCTCGTCTCCTCCGCCCTTATTCACAAAAGAAATAATAATACAATGTTGAATGGCTGAACCAGAATCAATGTCTGAATCCCTCTTCTACTGCAGCTATCACTTGTGGTCCACCATAGCCATGGCCGCCTCTCTCACTCTTCATTATCATAGGCCGAGGCTATGGCGGACTACTAGGTCTTGGCCTGATGTCCGAAGGACAACCCAAAGCAGATATGGCTGCTCTAGCTCAGGCTGCCATGCGTGACTCTGTGGCTCTGCCCCCAACGGGGACCTTCCTGCTGCAGCGCCCACCAAGGTGATGGATGCTACCATAGCCAGGTAAGTACCTCTGGCGCTCCCCCCCCTTCCTCCTGGTCTTCTTCCTCCTCCGTGTCCTTGCTGCTTCCCCAGCAGTGGTGCTCCAGCCAGCGCTCCAACCAGTGTGTCGCCAAACTTGCACACCGACAATGAGGCTGCGCTCTTCGCCCAGCCGGGAGATATAGCGGCCTGCTTGCCTCTTGGGGGGTGACTTTCAGGCCGCTCGTCATTGCAGATTCTGATATTGCCCGTACAGGCCCTAGAGTCAGACTGGTTGGACTGGTACTCACCTAGACCTAGCCTACAACTACTGGGCCTCTAAAAATGCCAACTTTGTCTTCTTCTGCTCGGCCTCCAGTACCCGGCACATCTACCTCTTCAGGGTGTGGTACGGGCCTACCTGCCACTTGAGTGTTTCCCCGCTGCTTCAAGTGTTGCGGGCCTCTTCCCCCGCCACTTGAGTATTTTCCCCGCTGTAATCCTCAATGTCACGGCCACAGGTAAGTACTGGCCCTGAGGGCCCAACAAACGAACAAGTGCCGTTGCGGGTCACACCCACATACTCAAGCCAACAAGCACACTCGGACAGACATGCAGACCAGCAATCACACACACACACAGACTTAGAGAACTTAGTAGCAAGCGGGATATTGGAATGGAGAGTTGAAAACGCGAGCAAGAGCACAGGGACGTCGTCCCGCTAGCGGGGCCAAATTTCCTCGACTCCTGAATCTGGACGTGTTTGTGGAGATGTGCAGAGAATGGCGTCGAGTTTGAGTTTTCTCAACAGCACATCTCCACAAACACGTCCAGTTTTCGCAGATCGAGGTCGGAATGGCTTCAGCCCATACCTCGGGGGAAAAACAGGATTTGAACCTGCGAGGGCCACGACTCAGTGCTGCTAGCGGTACAAGGCCCCAGAAAAAGCCAAAGGGAAAGTCGAGTGGAGGGGGAAAGAGAGAAAGTTGCAAGTGCAAAGAGAGAGCCAACTGAAGAAAGGAGAGCGGCAATGACAGCCGAAAGAGAAGTGAGAGGAAAAGCCGAAAAGAAGTGGGAGAACAAGGAAGGAGGAGGATGTCAGAAGAGGAGAGCAGAGCGAACAGGAAAAGAAGAGGCGAAGGAAGATGGATGACACAATGGAACGAGTGGGAGAAGACCGAGGAGAGGAAAGGGAAAAGGGGTGAGGACAAGGGGGTGAGCAAGGGCCTTTTTCTGGCTTTTCTGTAAATGACAACAAGGAAGGGGGAAGGGAAGGGCAAGGGCCTTTTTTTCTGGTTTTGTTCAAGTGACAGCAAGGAAGGGGAAAGGGAACAGGCGTGGGCAAGGGCCTTTTTCTGGCTTTCTTATTTTTTTTTTAAGTGACAACGAGGAAGGGTAAAGGGAACAGGGTTGAGAACAATGGTGGGCAAGGGCCTTTTTCTGGCTTCTTTTTTTTTTTTTTTTTTAGTGACAACGAGGAAGGGTAAAGGGAAGGGACCACCGTCAGCGGTGTCAGGGTTGTTCTGTGAGCACTCTCTATTGCCTCATCGTCCTCTTCTTTTCGAAAACAATCTGCAGCTGGGGTTGGAGGAGGGGAAAACACAAATTGTTTGCAGCAATGAGGTGCCGATCATTTCTTGTTCTCTAAACTCTTTTTCTGAATGTGACAGGATCCTGAAATTCCGCGCCGACCACCAACTGAGGACATACCGGAGACATACGAGAAGTTAGTGCGAGAGACGGCAGCATATGGTTATAACACAGAAACAATCATAGCAAAACTGAAAGCCATGGTAAGATACATCTGTTATGATCCTGACTAACTTGAAGTGCAATAACTCGACCAAAGACTGACGACGCCGTTCATTCGCAACTGAAATGAAAGAACTTGGAAAGAGAAATGGACAAAGGAAGAAAGAAGAAATACGAATGAGAGAAGAAGAAGAAGAAGAAGAAGAACACCAGCAAAGACCAATGTCAATCCCCCTTCATCCCGCTGCCATCTCCAACCTCCTCTTACTCTCCCAACCTCCCAAGCTACCGGTACCTTCCTCCTTTCTGAGGGAAACATCATTGTTGTCTGACATCCTTTTTGCAGGCCATACACTCAGACTACTGGACTGGTACCCGTAGACCCTAAGCCTACCAGACTCTAAATTTCCTTCGGCCTCTAAAGGTACTAAGCACTACTGACTTTTTGTCTTCTTCTGCCTACCTACCTGCTACATGAGTGTTTCCTTCCTAAGCGGCCCTAGCCTACCTCTAAGTTCCCCCTGCGTCTCCGCAAAAACACAGCCACAGGTAATGACCAGGCCCGAGGGCCTTTCTAGCATACAAGTACCCTGGCGGGTCGCACACCCCATGAAACACTCTGGCACAATCGGAACATTATTGTCATTTATTCGGGTGCTATGCATGCGGAAGGGCTGATTCTTTTTCTAAATCAAAAGGCAGTGACACTAGATGCATTTGCCGGGAGAACCCGGAGGAGATCAATTTGATCTGGCGACTGGATCCTGCTTTTCAGGCCACACTGGTCCTTGTAATCTACAGTACCAAAGGAGAAGAACATCAGGCATGTGCAAAGTAGCAAGTGATGATTTTTTTCGGTGTGTGAGCCTTGCTGGATTGCTCGACAAATGAGTCAAGAGGCGTGTGTATCTTCACCTAGAAGGCTAGAAGGTGGAAACTTGTACAGCGTTTTTTAGCCTTTTTCACATTCACCCACTGGTGGAGCTGGATCCTGTACTCTGATTGTTGTTGCTTGCGTTTGGTGCTGTCACCTGTGTATCAGGCTACCATCTTCACCTAAATAGAACGCCCGGTCATTGGGCCAGCTTCCAGTCTAGATGTAGGGATAATTATTGGGCGTTCTATTCATGTGAAGGCGGTACCAGTCATGCACGCCTGCAGTAATGACTATTCTTAGTATCTGTACTCTGAGAGAGAGAGAGAGAGAGAGAGAGAGAGAGAGAGAGAGAGAGAGAGAGAGAGAGAGAGGTCCTGCACACTTGCAAGACCTTGTATTACAATGGTGGTGTTGGATTTGTTGTTGTCAGTTGTCTATGAGGTCCAGCACTCGTGCACACCTTCAGCTACAGAAGTACACAATGAATCAGGCCCAAGCGTCACTGCCCCGCCCAAGTAAAAACATTCCAATTCTTTTGTTACCTAGTGAGAACGTTATGTGTGCAAAGCACCAGAGGTAGTATCTTGTCACGGGCAGAGAAAAAGGGTACTTGTGCAATGGTTTGTGTTGATGATGCATGTGTGCCGTTAATAGCGTTATGGGCTTCCAGGAATGGCATTCGATATAGTTTGCAGCTTGCCAGAATTGGACAGTCTACTATTGCAGGTTGCCAGAACTGGAAAGTCGTGATGCCAACGCATCACTATGTGGGAGTGGTTTCATATATTCATAGAGGTATGTGTGTGTGACACTGTTTGCGATAGTATGTGTTTGTGACAGTGATAATATGTTTCTGTGACACTGTTTGTGGTTGGTGTCAATTGCTTATCACAAGTCGTATATGAGCTAATTGTTTTTGCTAGTAGTTTAACTGTACAAGTCATTTGAGCTCATTGTTCTTGCTACCGTCTTCCCCCGAACATAACGCATATGTGCTGTATTCGAGTTTGCGAAAAACATCGATGACTGGAATAGAACGCATGTGTTCTATTCAAATAGACAGCAACCTATGAGTTGTATTCGTTCACAACACATGCGTTATGTTCGGGGGAGGACGACAGGACGGTAGTAGTATATTCTGAGCGTCTGCGGCTCGAATGTCTGTGAAATTGGAAATGCATTTCATTTAAATTTTCATTAGTAATTTGCTTTTTTTTTTTTTTTTTTTTTTTTTTTTTGCTAATTTTCATGCCAAAGAACGGTTGGGAAAATCATGACGGGTGCATAGCTTGGCATACTGAGAATTTTTATTGACATTTTGTAATTTTGAATTTTAAATTTTCTTTTTTCGAATTTTAATATTTTTTTATTGACATTTTGTAATATCTTGAATTTTCTTCTTCTTTTCTTTTTTCTTTTTTATTTTTAATGGGTGGTCAATTTTCAAATTGATTGAGAGACTGTGCACAGCGCGTAGACTGGCATGTACTGGGATGATGCTCTCATCAAACGTTTTTATTTTTGTTAATTCTATTCTAATGCTCGTTGGACGTTCTTAACGGACATCTGGTTGTTGGTTTGTTCTGTTTTATGTGCGGAGGGGCGGGTGAGAGGGGGCGCATGTTTGTTGGTCTGAGATGTGATTTGATGGGTGGGAGGAGGAGGTGGGGGGTGGGAAGAGGATAGAAAGGATGGATTGGGTGTCTTTGTGTTCCGAGTGGGTGTGAACGGATGTGAGACAGGGGTGCACTTAGCAGGGGGATGGGAGTGCGGGTTGGGTGGTGTGTCTGGGCAGAGGGAAATGYGTGGCGAGTTGCGGGTTTCAATTGTGSGATRCTTGTGTGTCGGACAGGGGTGCAGTTAGCAGGGGGATGGGAGTGCGGGTTGGGTGGTGTGTCTGGGCAGTGGGAAATGTGTTGGCGATTCGCGGGTTTTGGTCTTGGGTGATGTGTGTTGGGAGTGGGAAATGTGTGGCGGTTTGCGGGTTTCAATTGTGTGATACTTGTGTGTGGGTAAGGTTCAAGTTCAGGAGGAGAAGATGCATGTGGCAATGTTGCAGAGAGCATTGTTTCGACACATCGCATCCGTTAGTGTGCCGAAGGGCATCCACTGCCTTTCGCTGCATCTAGCAGCAGAGTATGCGAGCAACCCACGTGCGCAGCGGCCTCTGCCTTCTGAAGATAAAGCCTGGCGGCTAGTAGATAATCGTTTCCATCACATAGTATTGATAACGGATAACGTGCTCGCTGCATCTGTCGTGGTGAAGTCGACAGTAAACAGCACAGCAGATTCCTCACGACTCGTCTTCCATATCATCACAGACGACATGACGTACGCGGCAATGCACGCGTGGTTTGCATTGTACGACATTGGCGATGTGACTGTGGAGGTCATGGGCATGCATCAGATTGTCAAAGCGGCTGGGCAGTCGGGCCTCTCCTGGCACGAAGACAAGGTCCTCGACGCGTTTGAAAGGGCACCGCAGTCTGTCGAAAACCATCTGTATGGAGCTCAGAACGCCGACTTTGAGAAATGGGACTCGCCAATGGTGGAGGCAGCACGGATGCAGGCCAAGAATCCACGATACGTGTCGTGGATGAACTATTTGAGGATGTGCCTACCAGAGGTAACAAGCAAACCAATCTTCGCATTCCCCGTGACGATGAACATGCATTCTTTTTCTTCGTTTCCTTTTTTTTAACTGGATTTTATTCGAAGGATGTGATCTTAGAACTTGCTTATACTAAATATACCATAAGTGGTAATTTGGCTTTTTGGCTTGGAAGTCTTTCTGTATTTTTGACTTCTTATTATTCTTTTCGCTTACTTTTTCTCACTTTTCTTGCTCCAACCAATGCTTTTAAGCGAGACATCGAAAGATGTCATGATGCTCTTACTCTGATGGCAATCCCTTTAATACTTTTGGCTTTCGGAAGTTTTTTTGTAGGATATTTGGCCAAAGATATGATGATTGGTTTAGGTACTCATTTTTGGGCAAATTCTATTTTCATACTACCAAAAAACGAAATTATGTTTTCGTCAGAACACGCGGCACTAGATTGCCTGAGAAGGTACTCACGCAAGGACCTAAACCTTCAGGAGACAATTCAATTAAATTCGAGATTGTGGGAACTGGGGAAATAACTCCACGGTGGTACCATACCAAGGAGAATTCAGAGATCCCGTAGTAAGAATTGTCCTGTGCGGACCCTTCTGTGTTTTACGTATGATTTTCTTTGTTAACAGGAGAATCATACTGATCATGTAAAACAAAGACCCTTAATACAGGCGATCCTAAGCGCAACGAAGTTGCCTCTACCAAGAAAATTAGGGAACGCCTTCAACTCTTTTGTCCATGTGCCGGCACGAAGTGTGGCGTCAGAGTTTCCTTAGTACATGAAAATGGAAGGGAAACAGTCAGTAGTCTTGCCAAACTGATGGAGAGCCGTGTGCTTGGAAATCTTGCACGCACGGTTCGGAGGGAAGCTTAGTCAGATTACACACACTGCTTACCCTATCTATTGGGTCGTTGGTTCTAGAAATTAAATTCATTCTATCTATTCGAGGAGTTTCCCGCATACAGTGGAGTTTCCTATTTCTAGTCACCTAGAAAGTAAGGCAACGAAATTACCTTAGGCGAAAACAATGCGCGCTCTTGCGCCTCATGTCACCATGAGGATTGGACCATATCATCACAATTGGTAGTTTCCGTGCGTCTGGCGTATGGCCTCTGAAGATCGATAGAGACGCTTCGTCTAGCGAGCCTGCTGATTTACTCTATCCACTCGAGTGGCCTTTCTGCCGTATTTCTCGGTAGTGTATGTAAGAATTGCGAGTGTTCCAGCATATAGCCAGATTTTATAACTGCCCTAAAGTTGACAGTTAGAGTTACGGCCGCCGTTTACTGGGGCTTCCATTCGAAGCTTATGTCACTTCTCCTTTTCACCTTACATCCGTGAACGTGGTTCGAGGGCAGGCAAGGAGATGGAGAACCCTACTGACCGGTAGGGATCTTGCAACTGTCAGTCTAAGATATGGTGGATCGACTAGAATACGCCTGCTACCGTCTTGAAGACCTGAATAGAACATGCGATGTTGCGAGGCTTTATAGCTGTGTTTGGGCCAGCTTTCAGTCCAGATGATGATAATTAGCCGATTCCGGGGAATACAGTAGTGGACAGTCAGCGCGAGAAATTTTCATCCAGAGAACCCCTTACCTTATTCTGTATTGTTTCATCCTCCTGCTTATTGCCATGCTGCCATTTATCCATCGCCTCCCACTTCTCCAAACGAACACCTCGGACACATGCCATTTTTTTATCCCTCGGTAAAAATTCTTCTCCGCTTCCTTGCTCTATCTTCTTTCTATTTGTGTCCCTGGGATCTTCTCGATTGGTGTATTGACGGAACAGGGGTCATCTGTAAATGGAAATGTTATTTCCGTCAGTCATCTCAGCGGTGCTCTGATGCTAGGCTTTGCGACTATTGTGTGGCGGTCGGTCATCATTGCCGAACCTTCTGACTTGTGCAGGTTTTCCCGAAGCTGGACAAGGTGGTTTTCCTTGATGATGATGTTGTTGTGCGGCGCGATCTATCTGAACTCTGGGAGATCGATCTGCAGGGCAAAGTAAACGGCGCCGTGCAGATGTGCGGAACCAGTTTGGACAGGTGGATACCGTCCAAGACGTTCCGCTCATACTTCAATTTCTCCAACCCTGTCATAAAAACCACCCTCGACCCCGAGGAATGCGCCTGGGCCTATGGTATGAATGTGTTTGACCTGCGGTCGTGGCGGCAGTCGAATATCACAAGGGTGTACCATAGCTGGCAAAAGCAGGTAAGATGCTCTGCCCAACCATCCCCAGCCCTCTCTCTCTCTCTCTCTCTCTCTCTCTCTCTCTCTCTCTCTCTCTCTCTCTCTCTCTCTCT